CAGGATCAGACTTTAAATAATGCCTGGCGTTCCTCCTACACTGACGAACGTTCTCCCGCTTTCTGCCTGGAGTAGCGATCATCCATGGCAGGAGACAGGTATATCTGCCCCTTAATTATGATTCTAGTGTCCTTATCTTATCAGGTCACGCAGTCGATATTTTTAGTGCAGTCGGTCTGTCATTTTCGGTCCAGTAACAAACTCGTAAGTCTGTGTTAAGGTAAACAAACGACCCATCGACTCAAACTCCGCCCACATTTTGGCTTCCTTGGCAACCTTGACTATTCGTAAAAGGTGATTAGTTGTTGGTTGCTAAGGGAGTCATGACGTTACATCAGTTGATTTATGGTCTCTTTTTTTTTAAGTGTAAATATGTTGGAATTTTTGTCATACATTAAACATCACAAGAAAAAAAAATGGACGTAAATATACCGATATGACGACATACCTCACATAGTAACCACGCAGCATCCAATCAAATTCCTGGAACTGAAACGGTTGCTAAGGAAGCCAAAAGTGGGCGGAATTTAGTAGATAGGCCAATTAGTATGGAGAGTAACTCGTCCAGGTGTGGCCCAAGGTGTAACCCGCCCGGTGGTATAGTGGCCATCGTGTTTCTTACCCTCACTAGAACCGGACGGATGTGGTGGACCAGGTGGAGGGGCGAAGGTATGTTCACTGAGTGTCTAATTAAACACAAACTTAATACAAAGGAGCACCTGTTATATCCTAAGTGTAAGTTAATATTTACTTACGAAGCAGGGGGTAGAGAGAGAGAGAGAGAGAGAGAGAGAGAGAGAGACGTGGTGTTGAAGGTGTGAGGATAATGGTGTCTTTCACATCTACCATTAGGGGCCGTTTAGCATTCATTGTTGACGTTGTAGTGAAGTAGTACCTCCTGACGCAGCTCACAGCCGAGTCTTTCGTACAGGAGTGAATACCATGACCTCCTCCTCCCCCTCCCTGCCTCTTGTCTCCCACTAGTTACCTAATACGGGGAGGTCCTGTCACCACCACCATCAGAATCATGCCGCCTTGGTCACCATTCTGAGCCTTACCTGGGGGGGGGGGTATCATCCATATTAGTCGTCATCACATTGTCAGTCTTATTGGTGCTATAATCATCGTGCTGACGGCCTCAAGTGGCTGCAGGAGGAGGGGGAGCTGAGAGTGATCGGTGATGGGGAGGCGGGAAGGGACTAGTTGGGAGGAATGGGGAGAGGAGGGGGAGGTAAGGGGAGTACAGTACACTAACACCTATCATAACCAGAGTTGATGCCTTCCAGTCCTGCTGAAATTGACACCCCCGTTTTCTTCCTGGTTATTGACAGCCACTTTAGGGGGTACCAATGTATAATTCTTGCCCATTTTTCATCACCTCCACGAGAGTTATGAGACCTTCAGCGAGGATTCTATGGATAAAGGAACAACTAAAATGATCTTATTGGCTGTTTGTGTGTCGTCTGTTGTCGCTGGTTGGCTGTGTGCCGTCTGTCTCACGTCCTCGTCACCACCGCTGCCCTAACATTCCCCCAACTCACACCCGCGTAACGAACTACGTGTGGTATTACCTCGAAACTGTTGCACGTCATTCTCCACGGGTCCAGACAGTCAACTTTTCCCGGTATGCAATATGAAGCATTTGTAAAACCTCCTCACTACTTGCTAGGGAATTTCTCATGTGCTTGTTAAGAAAAGTCCAGTCCAGGTATGATCGTCCCAACGAGCCACCAAAATAGGTCATCACTCGTTAAGTATCGTGAGGAATGTGACCAGGTAGTGTAAGTAATGGATGTTTGGCGACGGATCTGCATATATTTTGGGAAGTCGTGTTATTATGAGTTTGGATTCCTTTAGGGTTCACGACGATGACATGACGGCCATTCTAAAGTCATGTTAGCTCAGCCCTTCACCCCGGGAGCTGTGTTTTAGGTCTGTTATGTTTTGTTGTTTGGGTTTTTATGGGGGAGTTTTATGTTGTTGTTTTAATTCATTATTCATGTGGCGTTTTCACGTGTTTGTTGGCGACACCTGACACAGTGCTTGGTTGGGTGGCATGCATTGTAAGTTTTACCTTACCAGTGGCACCGCTAACCCACCTCCCCCCCCCCAGGCTGGTGTTCTGATAGGTGGATGTCACACTAAGTCTTGTCCTCTCACCTTGACATCTCCGCTAGAGGTGAAGACTAAAGCCGTAGAATCAGCTGATGTAAATATCTAAACATCACACACATCTCCCCTGACCGTCAAAACATCTGCTGAGGTACAAGATGATGTGTGTGTGTGTGCGTGTGTGTGTGTGTGTGTGTGTGTGTGTGTGTGTGTGTGTGTGTGTGTGTGTGTGTGTGTGTGTGTGTGTGTGTGTGTGTGTGTGTTTACCAGCCATCCCTGTATAGCGTGAAGTCTGGCCAGGATAATTTAAATCATCTCGCCAATAGATTAAAAATGGTATACGTTTTTAGCGGAATTATTTTATTTTTTACTCATAACATGTTTGAAGATATTCGTCCGTGAAGAGACTACACGATGCTATGTGGTTGCTGTGTCTCAGGGCCAGGTAGAGTGGCTGTGAGGCACCTGATGTAGGCACCTGAGTGTGGGTGAACAGTTTACCTGCCACAAGATCGTGTTGAAGAGCCAGCCACCTGCACTTCCCTCTCCAACCACTCACCACCACACTCACCTACCACTCACCACCACACTCACCTACCACTCACCACCACACTCACCTACCACTCACCACCACACTCACGTACCATTAACATTCACCAAGGTGTACAGTATGTGTACATCTTAATTGGAGGACAGGTGAACCCCCAACCTTTTGTGAGTGGTTCGGTCAACAGATAAATTATGAGACAGTGGAGTGCGTGGGACCCCTGGTGAGCGACCCCTGTGGTGGTGGTGGTGGTAGTGGGGGTAGTTGTGGTGGTGACTGTGATGATGGTCGAGGTTGTGGTAATGGTAGTGATAGTGGTAGTAGTGGTGATAGTGGCAGTGGTGGTGATAGTGGTAGTGGTAGTAGTAGTGGTGGTGGTGGTGATAGTGGGTGGTGGTGGTGGTATAGTAGTAGTGGTGGTGTAGTGGTAGTGGTGGTGGTGATGGTGGTAGTGGTGGTGGGTGGTGGGTGGGATAGTGGTAGTGGTGGTGGTGGTGATAGTGGTAGTGGTGTAGTGGTAGTGGTGGTGGTAGTAGGGTGGTGATAGTGGTAGTGGTGGTGGTAGTGGTAGTGGTGGTAGGTAGGTGGTGGTGGTTGTGGTAGTGGTGGTGGTGGTGTGGTGGTGGTGGTGGTAGTAGTGGTGGTGGTGGTTGTGGTAGTAGTGGTAGTAGTGGTGGTGGTAGTAGTGGTAGTAGTGGTGGTGATAGCGGTGGTAGTAGTATACGTTTATGTGTTTTCTACTCAGTAAACACACCGATATATTCCCCACTATTTATCTTAACACAGTTTACATGATTTACTGAACAGCTGAGGCGACAAGTTCACTGTTGATTTATGTGTTCAACTGTCCATATAGTTAATGAGTTATATATATTAAACTATTTATTTGTCCATTTGTTTATGTTAGGTTAGCCTTAGGATGGTTAGGTTAGGTTAGGTTAGGTTAGCCTTAGGATGGTTAATCATCAGGTAAAATAAACTGGGGTGTCTAATCTTCAGGTGATCCAGTCATTTGTATAGGTAGGCTATTACTATTTTTGTATACTAATCCATGCTGAGAAATAAAAACAACCAAGTCAATTCTCTGCCGCCGCCAAATAAGCGCCAATCGCCAATTAACCTGCAGACCGTAACACAAACCCCCCTACCGCGTCGCCAATCTTCCTCAGCCTCTCTGCCTTCCCCCCCTTACCTCCACCCTTACACACACATCATCCTGACGTTTACTACGATTTAATTGGTTCTTCGGCAACTTAATGGCCCAATTATGTGGTTGTGTGCATCTCAACTCAACCATCTAGGACATAAAAGTGTTTCATAGAGTTTCTCACGAAAGTGATCGCTTTCAGTAACAATGACGAGGTTAGGTGACGTGAATCTCAGTTGAGTACTGTACCATAGAAAACGGGTCAGTAAGGCATATTTTAAGGCTGACTAAAATAAAAACTAAAATCATTAATTATTTTGTTTTAATTAATATCCCATTGTTTGCGAGTTAGAGCTATTAAATACTTGATCTATACGCTATTAAAAAAATAATAATGAGATAGAAATTTAGGAGAGACAAGTATATTATTAAGGTTTGTAATTGATATATATATATATATATATATATATATATATATATATATATATATATATATATATATATATATATATATATATATATATATATATATATATATATATATATATATATATATATATATATTATGGTCGTGTCTTATTTATCGAGGGAGCAATGTACATGTGTGTGTGTGTGTGTGTGTGTGCGTTGACATACTGAAGCACTAAGGAATGGTATATAACCGACCTCTGTAAAAGCCGAGGATATTAAGTTTATAATATGGAAGGTGACTGTGTGAGAACTTAATACTGGCGAGTTAATGTAAGTGACGCGAGCATTAATTGATGTTATGTGTAATTTTTTGTCTGTTTGTTAAGGTATTACGTCTTTGATCTTCTTACCATAGAGAAAACTTTTAGAATAATTTAGACATTTAGATAGGTTTTAATATTTGAGATCTCATGAAGAATAGGCACCCTTGCTTCAGTCGCTTGATGATTAAACACCCTAACCTAACCTAACCTAACCTAACCTTCCATTTAGAGTTAAGGTGTTTAATTAATCATGAGGTGAAATAAACTGCATGGGGTGCCTAATCGCCATATGAGATCCAAAATTCTAATCACCTTGTTAATACTATTTATGTGTGCTTTTTTTTATGCATTGTGTATTATGACGTAGTTGTGGTATTTACTGGTCATAATTATAGCACTATCATGACCCTGGAGGTGTAACTACTACTAATATAAGGTGCTAATGATTGTCCCGTTCCAGGTGTGAGTCTCGACCCGGTCCCCGACATGTGCTGCGTTCCTATACCTTCCACCATGATAAGTCCTTCCACCTGGCTCTCCACCTGTACCGTGATGCCTCCTGTGCTCACCCCACCTACACCCTCTCCGCTCACGGCCACCTTACTCTCGGTCGTCCCTCCTGGGTTACTCCGGGAGGCACCGAAGCTGAGTACATCGTCTCTAGGTAAGATACACGGCAAATAATACTGAGTTGTTATTTAATTTTGTTTTTTGTTTAATTTTTTAGTTATTTTATCAGATTTTTTTTTATATTTTTTTTATTTTTTGGTTATTTTAATTAATTTTATTTTATTTTATTTTTATTTTTTGTACTTTTATGGGAAAATTCTGTAGTCAATTGGGCTATTCTATTTCCCTTTGTTGGTTACATCATAAATTAGTTGTGTAATCAATAATATCCTTTATTTTTTATCTGCATTTTCCTGACATTTAATAAGAGTTGTTTGCTAATGAAATACTTATATACTTAAAGTTCCTGTTTTAGTCATGTGTGAAATGTCGATGATTTTGTATGACCTGACCTTGACCTTGGCCCTGAACCCCTCGTCCCTTGGGTGGATGATGTGTACCCCCTTCCCTTTTTACCCTTAGCCTTACTCACTCCCTGAGTCCTTAGAGAGGGGTTAAGCTGTTTGATCCTCTCTCTCTCTCTCTCTCTCTCTCTCTCTTTTCTTCTGGGTGAGATGAGGCGGTGTAACATCCATTCCTGTCAAGTAACACCCCTCCACGCCCTGTAACACCTCCACGCCCTGTAACACTCCTCCGCCCTGTAACCCCTTCACGCCCTGTACCACTCCACGCCCTGTAACCCCTCCACGCCCTGTAACTCCCCTCCACGCCCCAGACACCCCTCCACGCCCTGTAACCCTCACGCCCTGTGACACCCCTCCACGCCCCAGACACCCCTCCACGCCCCAGACACCTCTCCACGCCCTGTAATACCCCTCATGCCCTGAACCACCCTCCACACCCTGTAAAACACTGTTCTCCGCAGGGTGGAGGTAGTGAGCCATACACACCGTGACGCCGCCCTCGTTGCTGCCGCCGTCAACGCCTCCTGCCCCGGCAAAGTCATCAAGGTAAGATGCACCTGCCTCTCTCTCTCTCTCTCTCTCTCTCTCTGGGTTTCATTCTGGGGTTCAGTAGTTGGCGCGATACTATTTGTGGAACCTCTGTGTGTAAGAGAAAGAGAGAGATCCTTAAACCATCTGAAGTTTTGTACCTGTTTAAGGGTCACTTTAGGAGTTCAGAGTTAGCATGACTTATTTTTACACACACACACACACACACACACACACACACACACACACACACACACACACACAGGGGTCCATAACAGTGTCTTATCACTTATGAGCTGATAAAATAACTCATCAACTTGTATAAGACATAATTGTTACCCGTACGAAACAGTGTCATTGTGTTCTTGTTCTATACGGGTACTGTACCCGTTTGTCCTTGTCTTTTTTCTTCAACAAAATAAGTTGGGTGTCGTGCCTTCATATTTGCCTTTATCATCTTGAAGTATAGCAGGTGTGTGCAGGTTGTTACAGGACGTGTATTATTACAGGCCATCACCCAGGTATGAGAAGGTCGCTGGCCACATACCACAACATCAACACTCGTGATTAGATTTGGCCCCAGATAAACCCATGGTTGTCTCTACAAACAGATTTATGGACCTGGGCAGTTTATTAAAGGGGTGGCTGGGTGATGTTAGTCCGGCAGTACGGAAACTTGACTACTAAGCTTCCTGTACCCAAGGAGGTAATTTAACTGGCACCTTGCTGGACCGCCTTCACTTCCCCGGCTATATAGTTAGGTGACCATTTACAGCTGGGTGGACTAGGGTCTCCCACGGGCAGGAACCAGAGCATGTTAGGCTACTACACTAAACCACAGACTGATTTAGCGATTTTTCAATGTTCTGCTGCTGTGTTGATTTTGTCCGAGTGAAAGGTCACGTAGAGTTTACAGATAAGGGATTTGTTCTGCTAGTCTTACATAAATATACCCACTGTACGCAGACACACCTTGTGACACCTGCCACACACTGTTGGTACTGGCAGGATGACAGTTTCTGAGGTCTAGTGAAATGGTTGTGGGAGTGAATGAGGTGGGGACGCGTGCAGTGTGTCAGTGACTGTTAACTGACTCTCTCTCTCTCTCTCTCTCATCCATCATTAACATTCACCAGAAGGGTCCGTCATAGCCTGTGACCAACGCTGCCTCTCAACATTTCAAGAATATTTCACTAATTGGCATTCGCATGATTGATGACTGAGGTTACCGAGTACTGTTTTTGTGTGTATTTTTACATCCCTGGTATGTTGCCTGGGTCAGTCTGCCTCTCTCCCTCACACACGATTTTCTTGAGATGAAAAACCGTATATCCGTCAACTCCTCTTTTTAGTGGTGCGTGAATTACTTAAGAAAATTATACGATCGATCAAATTCAGACGTAAATTAGAACCTTAAAACCGATACTAACCTGTTCTGATTCTCAAAGGTTCGCACGTGGATTTTTTTTCTTGTCTTTACCACTATGTAGGAATTTTAGCTTCACCTCCATGACTCAAGATGCAACACGACGGTAGTCTAGAGCGTCGGGAAAGGCTGATACTAAACTCTTTCTCTCTCCCTCATGGGAAAAACAAAGCACTATCGACGAGAGAGAAAATGCTTATAAGGAACATTTATCAAATGCATGGTCTCTCTCTCTCTCTCTCTCATGATTACATGACAATTAGACACCCCCATTTATTTCACCTGCTGATTAATCCCCCCCCTCCTCGGTAACCTAACTTAACCTAACCTAGCCTAATTTAATCTAATCTATTTTACCTGCTGATTAAACACCCCAATGCTAACCTAACCCCCCCTCCTCCAATTAGCGTTAGGGTGTTTGCAGGTGAGGTAATAAGCTAGGAGGGGGGGGGGACTAATCTTCACATGATCTACATATTTTACAGGTGACCTCATTATAATGCAGGTGTTCGTATAGGTGTGTTTTGGTGATCCACACAGTGACGACAGAGAGGCATCAATTAAAACGTGACGATATAGAGGCTTCAATTAGTGACGATATAGAGACGTCAATTAAAACGTGACGATATAGAGGCATCAGTTAGTGACGATATAGAGGCATCAATTAAAACGTGACAATATAGAGACATCAATTAAAACGCCTTTCTTTTTTTTGTCTCTTAATCGTGTTATTTTGGTCGTGGGCGAAGATTGTAGGATTCATGTATATTTTGCCTAAGTGAATGGTACACGTGTTTAGCTGCATGGGTTTTGGATTTAAATATTAGCTGTTATCTCTCTCCCTCTCTCTCTCTCATTCACCAGTTAGGTTAGGTTAATGTTAAGGTAAATTAAGCTGGGGTAGCTAATCTTCAAGTGATCCGTTATTTATCCCTTTAAGATCCTTGTTTATGTCTTCCCTGTGCCTCGTCTTGTCACTATCACTATACACCACCTCTGTGCCCTCAGCCCTGGAAGCCTCACAAGCCTCACACGGTCCTGGCCTACACGGAGACCAATAACGAGGTGATGGAGGACGACGACTGCGGCAGGAATCTAGGGGCCGCCTGGCACGAACTCCAGCTGGTGAGGGTGGAGCTCACGGCCCCCAAGCACTCGCAGAAGGGCACCCAGGGCGGCTCTTCCTCCTCCTCCATGATGGGCGCCCGGAAGGAACTCTTCTTGGGTGACATACACACGGATTTCTCCAAGCAGGACCTCTACCGCCCTACGGGTTACCAGCCACCTCTCTTGAACGTCAAATACGTGAGTATCTTATTCCTCCTCCTGATGGGGGGGCTGCTAATACTACAAGTTCTTCACGTCCTTATCTGAGTGAATGTAGCGCCGTGGATAGATTTTATTTGGTTTGTTTCTTCAGATGTACTGCTCTAAGTCTATCTACACGAGTGAGAGAAAACCAGAGAACAGAGAGAGAGAGCCTGCACAGTAGACTTGTTTTGTTTTTGTTTTTTAAAGGTCTCTGACATACTCGAGAGGTTAGGTAAGGACATGACCTACTTAATCCTCCACCCATGACGTCTCTTCACTTACACCTATTAGTTTCAGTCCACCACTTGGCTCCCTCTCTTAAGAATGTGTCTGTCATCCTCTCCCGTCGTCGTATCTCTCGTCTCGTCATCTCTGAGTCGTGAGAGCCTCATGTTTGTCTCTTCACTTGTTCTGATATATTTTACCAAATTAGAATAAACTGAGTTTTTATCCCAGGGGTAAAATCTTGATCTTGTTGCCAGCCTGTGTAGTGTTGTTAGATGTGACCCCTAACTACCGTATACCTGTCTACCCTCATTACCACCCCTAACTACCTGTCTGCCCTCATAACCGTGCTTGTTGTAAACCCCCCAACTGCCCTCGTAAGAAGTGTAGTGATTTAGGATGGTGTTTGAGCATTTTTCTGATGGGTGTATTAAATAAGTTGAGTATGTACAGTGACCTCCAGGTGTAATGTTACCACCTACCGTGCCTCCCTTGCTCATGTGGCACCGTGGCTCTACTCGTGTGGCTGGGGAACTGATTGATATTTTTTCCCCAGTAACGTACTTGTTATTGCCAGAATTTTTGCTCTAGGTAAGCGATGGGTAAGTCGTCAGTCCCTTCTTTACGGTGATGGCGGTGGATGCAAGAGGGTGCTGGACATGGCGGGAGAGGAGGAGAAGGAGGGGGGGAAAAGGGAAAAAGGAGAGGAAGAGAAGGAAAATGGGGGTAGGGGAAGGAGAAGGAGGGATAAAAGGGGAAGGAGCAGAGGAGGAGAAGGAGAGGAGAGGAAGGGGTAGTAGGAGAAAGGGTTACCTCTACGTGTCTAATAGCAGGGGGGCACCAAGGGGGGTCGAGCCCTCTACGTCGCTCTCCGGGGGGCGTCGCGCCGCTTCACCCTCTTCGACCTGAGGTATAGGTTGAGGTAGACTCCTGCAACTCTCACCACTAGGCTTTGTTGTGTTGTCAGACTCACCAAAGTTGTCTGAGACTCTTTTTCTTCTATACTATTCAATGTATTAGTGGCTCAGTGGGGGGTGTGTTCGCCTCACAAACGATGGGTCCTCGGTTTGATTCTTAGCCAGAGTAAACGACTGAGTTCTCTCTACTTGTATACCAGTCAAGCTTTGTATCCCAGTCACTCCTTGTACACCAGTCACTCCTTGTACACCAGTCAGTCATTACTTGTGCACTAGTAACTTTTTGGATGCCATTCAGTCTCTGTACTCCAGCCAAAGTGGAGGAGGAGGAGGAGGAGGAGTTAACCCACTAGCTGATGAATACTAATAACCAGAGGACCACCTAATCCCACCTATCGCTAACCTGTACCTGATGCCCAACCACCCTACCGTGTACTATACCAGGATGAGACGTGTATGAATGAAGAAATAATAATGATATGATAATAACTGGTTTAGCTTTATATTTCCCAGCAGAAAAAAAAAAACAAATAAAAAAAATACGAAGCGGAAATTAGTGTGATTTTTACGTGTATGATTCTGGATAAACACCTAACATTTTCTGATTGTTTTGGTCGTTATTATGCATATAGGGAAGCTTGTGTGTGTGTGTGTGTGTGTGTGTTCGTCTTGGGTATCTCATTCATTGAAGGGTTTTGATGAATAATTGGAACTGTGTTTATGTGTGTGTATGCGCGTCTGGGTTCTTGTACACACACACGCACACACCGACCACGTGAGTGATGAATGGACACATCAGCTACCGGGGAGGTGAACAGGTAGTGACCTGGTCTAAGCACCTGGTAATGTACACTCCTGACTATTTATGACCCGTGGGGCGTGTGGTGGGGCGTCCCTGTCCTTATACGGGTCGTCTGTCCATACATTTATATCAGTATAAATCTGTAGACCGACGCGGCAAACTCAAGTCGATCTGGGAAGTGTGAGAGAGAGAGAGAGAGAAATATTTTGAGCCTTTGGGGAGGGAATTGTACAGATGTTGAGGAATATAAGGCTTAAAGTTCCGTTGTGTGTGTGTGTGTTTACGACTCTGAGACAGATTTACATAAAGAATAAAATCCCCATAAATAAAATATAACGACGTTGAATGGATGGAAAATAAAATACTCAGTCTTATACCAATTTTTTTTCTTAATTTTCTTCATTTTTTTTTATCGTTTTGATTTTGAAGATTAAGTTTAGTAATTACCGAATGATAATTTTTGACACGGTTTGAGATTTAGGTCAACATTAACAAAAAGATCAATTACTTGTCAACTTTTCATAATAAACATAACATAATCTGTGTGAGATAACACCTGTTTCTCAGATGTTATTAGTCGACAGGTGTGAGTTAAATGTTGACGACAGGTGTTAACAAGGATGATATTAACATTTCCACCTCTTGAGATTAACAGAACGCTTTATACCTTATTAAACATCATCATCATCATTATTACAGGTATTATTATTATTATTATTATTATTATTATTATTATTATTATTATTATTATTTGTTATTAAAGATTCTAAGCATTAATTATATCTGTAAAAAATAATCTGTGAAATATCTCGTTCTATTCATTGGATCTGTTTAATATAAGTCACTTTTGTAAACTCGCTACAAAAAAAAAAGTATCTGCACAATTTTTTGGGGCTAGACAATATGACACAACGGACGAAGGAATTTGACAACCCAACCGAGACAACAGGAGTCACAGTGTTCATTCTGACATCCTGTATCGGACCCCACCTTGTATATACTGTCTGTAGCATTTGAGTGACACGTGACTGTTGTGTCGTGTGTGTGTGTGTCAATTGTTGTGTCATGTGTGTCATCTGGCAACTCACTGCTGTCAGGGGAGGTAAGGAAGGGGAGGGAGGAAGGAAAGAAGGGGTGGAGGGAGAAAGGGAGGGAGGAAGGAAGGGGTGGAGGGAGAAAGGGAGGGATGGAGGGAGAAAGGGAAAGGGAGGAAGTAAGGGAAAGGGAGGGAGGAAGGAAGGGAAAGGGAGGGAGGAAGGGAAAGGGAGGAAAGAACGGAAAGGGAGGGACGAAGGGAAGGGAAGGGGAGGGAGGATGGTGCGTCTTGGAACCTAAACGTCCTCTCTCACCCTTCACCCTTAATACCACCAATAGTTATATACTGTAGATGGGAGGGAGTGAGGGAGGGAAGCACCCCATGGGACGCTATCAACCATCCCCTTCCATAACACACACGGGGTCTCCTTTCCGTCATGATGGGTGTTTGAATCTCTTTATTTATTTGGCAGAACACCAGACAAAAAAGGTCTTTGTGAGGGCCGGACACACAAAGATCAACCGCTGGAACCTGGTGGGTGAGAGAGAGAGAGAGAGAGAGAGAGAGAGAGAGAGAGAGAGAGAGAGAGAGAGATATTTTAGTTCTATATTTCATATGTGTGTGTGTGTGTGTGTGTGTGCTATGTATGTATGTATGAAAGTATGAATGTATGTGTGTTTGTATTTTCTTCACTATAATCCTCACATGAGGACTGACTGAGAGGACATTTATTTCTTGACCTGTTAAAAAGTACCTATATATGTGGGTATGTAGAGGGTGTCGGGGGCACAGGTGTACGGTGGGTTTGAGGGGCCAAGAGTAGGTGGTGTAGAGTAATGATGGGGCTTATGCTGAGGTGGCTATGCTGAGGTGGGCCAGGTGATGGTGGGCTAGTGTTGGATGGAGGGACTACAGTCTAAGTTTGTATGATGAACTCTGCTTTGTTGTGCCTAGAAGGGAGGGAGGGGAGGGAGGAGGGAGGGAGGGAGGGCTAGCCATAAGGGGAGGAAGGATAAGGAAGGCAAGGAGGGGAGGGAAACTATAACCTTTACGGAAACAGAATATTGGAATAAGAGAGAGAGAGAGAGAGAGAGAGAGGATTTAAACCGTCAATTGTTTCTTACTGTTGCCCTGAAAAATATGGAGGGAGAGGAGGGCAACCTAGTAGAGGAGGGCAGTCCTAAGAGAGGGAGGGAGGGAGGAAGTGAACAAGAGGACTGTAGGGAACCCGTCACTGTCTCTGCCACTTAAAGGAAAGGAAACGACCCACTGTATGGAAGGATTGTCTTCAATAAATCCTAAGTTCAATCTGGTTCTATATATATACGTATTTCTCATCTGGTATATAAATATACATACACACACACACACACACACACACACACACACACACACACACATACACACACACACACACACACACACACACACGCCTGCCTGCTCCTTATCTCTCCTCACATACTGTACTTTCAATAATCCTGTAACACGGAACCATAATTTGGATCTCCAAGTTACAGGTAATAGGTCCTGTAGTTTGAGGTGTTGGGCTTAAAGTTTCTCTGTAACAGCTTGTGGGATTTTAGCCATAATTTAGACTTAACATCTTAACGTCTTGTGGAGGTGTCGTCTTGTACACAACGTGGATCTGAAAATACCTCTTGGGTGTTCTCTTGTGTGGGTGTAGGTGGGTGGGTGGCTTTGCGGGTGTGGGTGGGTGATTGTGTGTGTGTTGGTGGGTGGGGGAGTGAAAGAATTAAGAGTCATATTTGGAAAAAATGGTCAATCGATTCTCTGAAATTTGTAACTTTTTATTAGTATTGAATTTGTGGCCAACTAATAAATATTAAATTGCTATGTACACCTGAAATTCTTTAACAAAAATAATCTCAAAGAATTACAATACCAATGACTAAAATTGTTGTATTGTGAAAGTGAATTTGACATGAACTTAACAAGACCGTAATAGGACATATATATTCGTGGACGGTGTAGGTGGGAGAGTTGGTCATCTTTT